TCCCAATTTTCTGTGCCAGAAAAGAATTGCCAATCATCTTCTCTTCCTTTAAAGATTAGCAGTATATGAGTTTTTAAATACATCTAAATAACCAACCTCAGGAAATATGCATTCTTATCTCCAGACTAAGCTGATTTCCAGGCAGGCATAGGGAGCAGAGGTGTAACATCCTCTCTCCTTACCCATGATCAGAAATAATCTCTTCAAAAGTCTGGAAAAACCCAAACAAACCTTAAACAAGCACAGAATTGCATCCACAAGAAAATAAGTGAAAAGCACTGGACTTGGAGAGAAGAGAAGATTTCTAAACTGGTCGGAATAGCCAACACCCCAGAAGACAGGCTGAAAATCCAGATGGATCTTGACAGCCTTGAACACTGGGCCCCATTTAACAAAATGAAATTCAATGTAGAGAAAAGTAAGGTTTTACACTTAGTCAAGAAAAAAAAAACACAATTGTACAGGTACAGATTAGGTGAAATTTGAATCAGTAGCAATAACCGTGAAAGAGATCTTGGAGTCCTAGTGGACAATCACTTTACATATGAACCAGCAGTGTGTGACAATAGCCAAAACAGCCAATGCAATCTTAGGCTGCAGTAACAGAGAGATAGAATCAAGATCACATGAAGTACTAGTACCACTTTATGAAGCTTTAGTAAGACCATACTTAGAATACTGCATCCAGTTTCGGTTACCACAATATAAAAAAGATGTTGAAATTCTGGGAAGAGTGCAGAGAACAGCAACAAAGATGATTATGGAGCTGGAGACTAAAACATACCGTATGAAGAACTGTTGCAAGAATTGAATATATCTAATCTAGTGAAAAGGAGGACCAGGGCAACATGATAATAGTGTTCCAATATTTGAAGGGCTGCCACAAATATTCAACCTATTCCAAAGCACCAAAAGGCAAGACAAGAAGCAATGGTTGAAAACTAATCAAGGAGAGAAGCAACTTAGAGAAATTTCCTGACAGTGAGAACAATTAACCAACTTGCCTTCAGAAGTTATGGGTGCTTCATCACTGGAGGCTTTTAAAAAGAGACTGGACAACCATTTGTCTGAATAGAAATAGAATCTCCTGCTTGAACAGGGGTTGGACTAGAAGACCTCCAAGGTCCCTTCTAACTCTTTTATTCTGTTATTATTCTGACTAAAGCAATTCGTTTATACAGGTAGTTCTTGGTTAACAATATTGAATTTCCGTCACTAAATGTAACATCACCTGACCATATTGCTTTGCAATGGCATTGCTAGGATTCACTGTTGCCATTGTTAAATGAGGATGATGGGTCGTTAAGTGAGACTAGTTGGTTTGCAAGCAGGCTGGCAGGCATGTAAGTGGATGCTGCTAGATTGGGAAGAGTGTACAAGGGCATGCAAGGCACAGCACCAAAATGTAGGGCCAGGGATGGTTGTTGCCAGGTAGGGGAGAGTATGAGCAACTTACTGGAGCTTCTCTGCCAGTCTCCCCATTGACCTAACTTGTGGGAAGCTTGCAGGAAGGTCACAAATGATAATCATATGCAGGACTGTGGGACATTGCAACTTTCATATTGCAAACTGGTTGCCAAGCACCCAGATCACAATCACATTAACTGTTTTACAAGTCTTCCCCTAATAGATACACTTCCTTGCTAAATAGTGATTCCAAAGTAACACTTTCTCCTACTTGTTTATGTTGCTTCCTGCTCCCCCCTCCATGCTTTCTGATCTGAGGCAATCTCAAGTTGCTTTTAAATGCAGTACACAAATAAGAAGGCCAAAGGCCAACCAGTCTGTGGGCCAAGTAAGCACTGAGAAAGCTAATTACCAGTTTACTTTGGCCTCTCTAATCTCTTACTAATCAAGTCTTTCAGAATTACCAATCTTAGGCCTGGTCTGAATTAGTCGATCAGTAAAAATGGCTTGTGAAACCTTTCCTGGAACCTATAAAGAAGGTCAAGACTATGGGTGTGTTTGCATGACTCTGAATCACAGCTAGCTAAGTGTATATTAAACTGAAATGTTATACGAAACCTAATTCTTGGCTCAATGTGTTGGGTAATGCAAAAATTTGCATTACTTGATAAAACCAGAGTTAAATTATGTGAACAAAGCAAGGAAGCTTCTTACAGTACAATGAAGCACAACAACATATGCAGATATTTCTTTTGATGAAGTATATAAATTTTAAAAGGAAATTGGACAACCCATAGTACATTGGATCATTCTTCTTTCAGCATTTAATATAGGCCTGTGCTATTTCTCCTGCCCTCACAACCCTCAGGTGAGTCCCAGTGAAGCCTCTTCCTCCTCTTTGGTTACCCGCAGAACTGCCTGCTACTTTGGTTGGGGGAAGAGGAACAAAGGAAGGAGCAGACCACAGGAAAAACTATATGCCTGCTCTCCATTCCAGCATGTCCCCATTCAAGAGCTCATCCAATATCAGTGGACTGACTCACTAGCCAGCATCTAAGTCAGACAAACATGCCCCCCCTCCAAAAACACCAACACAGCCTAGCCATCCCTACATTGATGGGGGGGGGCATCTCTATTGCTGTCCTGGTTTGCCTCCATTATTTGAGACAATTTCCATTTGGTGTTGACTGGGAACCAGAGATGTGACCTTCGGCCCCTATTTTAATAATAATAATAATAATAATAATAATAATAATAATAATAATAATAATAATAAAGTTGGAAGGTACCTTGGAGGTCATCTAGTTCAACCCCCTGCTCAGGCAGGAAACCCTATACCATTTCGGACAAATGGCTGTCCAGTCTCTTCTTAAAAACCTCCAGTGTTGGAGCATTTGCCGCTTCTGGAGGCAGGTTGTTCCACTGGTTAATTGTTCTATCTGTCAGGAAGTTTCTCCTTAGTTCTAGGTTGCTTCCCTCCTTGCTTAGTTTCCACCCATTGCTTCTTGTCCTGCCTTCAGGCGCCTTGGAAAATAGCTTGACACCCTCTTCTTTGTGGCAGCCCCTGAGATAGTGGAACACTGCTATCATGCCCCCCTCGTCCTTCTCTTCATTAAACTAGACATACCCAATTCCAACAGCCGTTCCTTATATGCTTTAGCCTCCAGTCCCCTAATCATCCTTGTTGCTCTTCTCTGTACTCTTTGTACTGCTTACTCCAATCCTATTTCCCAATCCTATTTTAATGTCTACATGAAACCATTGAGTGAGATCATCCGTCACTACAGGTTGAGATATTGTCAATATGCTGATGATAATTGTACATTTTTACCTGTGGTGAGTTAAGTAATGCCACGACCACCCTTTCATGCTACCTAGAGGTTGTTGAAGTGAACTAATCAACAGCTTATGAACCTGCTGCCTGATGGAGAGCAACAGGTTAAAACTGAACCCTGGAAGGCAGAGTGGCTTTAGGTCTGGAAATCCTTGGTTTTGCAGAATTGTTGTGGAGGTTGTGGGGGGGTTCTCCAGGAACTGCACTACTCCAGACAAACCTAGTGCATAATCTGGGGGCTCTCCTGGACTTGTGACTCCATATTGAGGACCAAGCAGCAGTCAAGGTCAGGAGGGCCTTTACACAACTGTGTTTTGTACATGAGTTACACCCATTTCTGGACCAACAGGCCCTTATCATAATCACCCACACCCTGGTCCATTTGGAGTATTATAATGTGCTTTACATGGGCTGCCCTTGAACAGCATCCAAATGCTTCAGTTGGCTCAAAATATAGCAGCCCACATGGTTTTGTGCAAGTCCAAATTTGCCTATATAACCTCTTTTGCAAGAGCCGCACTGGTTGCTGATTTGCTTTCAGATATAATCCAAGGTGCAATTAAAGGTTACCACCTTTAAATCCCTACAGGTCAACCCACCTTTCTCTGATTACATCTACCCAGCCCACCAGAGTAGGAAAGCAGGGCATATTGCAAGTCCCAAGGAAGAACATCTGGTGAGATCTAGGAACAACTTTTCTGTGGTGGCTCCCTCCCTTTGGAATATCATCCCCCCAAAAATAAGATTATATCTCACCTTATTGCTTTTCTGCAAGATCTTAAAGACATGTTTTTGTCATTAGGTTTGGGGATCCCATTCAGAATTGAACAAGTGGCTTGTTTGATTCTATTGTCATTGCCACAGGGTGGGAGGGGGGGCAGGAGGAGATTTAAGTTGTGAATATTTAACTGTGGATTTTTAATGTTATATGCCACCCAGAACCATTTTGTGTGCATTCAGCAGCTAAATAAATTTGTTTAATAAAATATATCTTTATCTTAGCTTATATCATTATGAGGGCTTTTTTTTGTCATAGAACGCCCAGAACGGAATTCTGGCACCTTTTTTGGATGGAACCTTCTAGGGTAGGCAAGGTGGGTTGTATGATGTGTGTGAGTTCCTACATCTTTTTTTTTTTTTTTTACAAAAAAGCACTGATCATTACCATCCAATGTTTATTCAGATTTGCTCACTTACTATTTTTGGCCTAGTTCTTTTGGCCACATGTATGTTCTGTCAGTTCTACCACTTTAAAAGTTCTTCATTGTCTACTTCTAGCACATCTCTTCTTTTCTTCAGTATTCTTCTGACTTAAAGTATCTTCCTCAGCTCCTTTCTATCAATTTATATATTCTCCACTGTTTCTGAATTTATTATAGTACTCACTGTACTATAGAGCCAATTTTCTTTTTTCTCATAGAAGCTGAGCTTCATGAATTCTGATAGCTTTGTTCTCTGAATAACTGGATAGTTATGGACGTCCCCTCTCATCATCCCAGTTTCCCCAGTCGCCATCAAAATCTTTGATTTAGCTATATTATTCATTAGAATGCACACAGTAAAATGAAAGGTATGCTTTAAATAAAATTCTGTACTGAATAATATTCAAAAGAATGACCAACATGAAAAAGAACATCTATTCTATTGCTTGCAATTCCATATACTTTAGAAAGTAATAAGGAAAAAAAGTTCAAAATATTACGTTGCATTATGTTACATTACATTATATTATTACATATGAAATGCAAACAGGACCTACCTTAGACAAAACATTATTAAATTCATGATCCCGAAGCTTCCCTTTATATAAGTTGATGCAAAGAGCCATTCAGAAAGCAGATCTTCTCCTGTCTGCCACCGCTTCCACTAGAATCTGATGTCATTTCAGGCTGCTTATATATCTGGACTCCCACCCACTGCAGGCACTTGGCATCTTATCCTACTTGACAACCATGGTAGCATGGTTGGACCCCATCCTTTTAATTCTCTCTCTCTCTTTCACTTCATATTCCTAACCAGACTAATATTATCCTTTGGGAAAAGCCTGAAAATGAAAAATATTACCATATATGTCATCATTAATTCAAGGCTAATCCAAGATACTGAAGCATGGTGCTCAGCACTATCTATGTCAAATTGTATTCTATTTGGGGTCAACTAAAAAGGATCTTACATCTGAGTCAGAAAATCCGACAAATGTAAAATCTCTCTCATTCTGACTGTCTAGTTGTCAGCATCTTATTTTAAAGACATCAAATCACCGCTGGATGTTTTCACCCACTTCACTTTGCCAGATGGGTAATATGGTAAATTATTTTGAATTTTTGTGTTACATTTATTGGTGATCAAAGCAATCAACAGCAAAGATAAATTCTACTGCTAACCCATGGAAAAGCATAAAAACTTCAAGAAGAGCAGTGCTATGAAAGTGCAGCAAGGTTTTAATTATATTATTATGATAATCATTATTATTATATTTGAATGGCATAGAAAAGGAGATTCCAACATAAGTTAACTGGCTTAAGCCTAGTTTAGCATAGTGTGACAGCTCTAACATGAAAAATGGCTAAATTATTGTCAGGCTAAATTATTAAACCATGAAGAAACTGATGTCCCCTTAACAGCCAACGAGGATTTCCAGTGAAGGCTACAAACTCTCACAGATAGCTGTGTGCCTCCTATGATACAAAGCTGAAAAGTATTGAGTAGATGCTATTCAGAGTTCTCACCTTGCCATTTTCCCATATCCTTTCCCCCCCTCTGTTTTCAGACTGGCTTTCTACTTCAACTTCTTTTGAAGCTTATGAACCTGCTGCATGAAACTGATCATCAGGTTCATATAAAGCTATGTCCCACATGACAATCTTTTTATGTAATTCAGGGCAGGAAGAATAAATAGGTGGCTTGCTAAGCTTCTAATGAATGGCTATACATGGTGCTAGGCTATGATTAGATCAGGTGGTCGCAGGCTGGATCTAGAAATAGACTTATCATTTCAGGTCCATGGCATTTGCCTATACCTTTGAACATAAAATGTGCCAGATAATTTAGATGGATATTCTCAGCTCAAGATGCTGATTTTGAGCACAAGTGCCTGGGTCTGCTTTGTACTACTGTAAGAGACTTGGAATTTGGTGTGAATTAGTGGAAGAAATAGAAGAAATGTGGAAAGAAATGAATAAATGTATATTGCTTTCAAAGCATTTTGCATCAAAGTCAGCAGAACATTGTGTCATCTTATAAAACAAATGCTTTATTCTGCATATTTCCTTGGATCACTTTTCACTTCATGAACTACAGGGAGTATATCAGGAGCACTGAGAGCAAAAGGGAACCAATGACATCACCCCTATAATGACATGCTGAAATTGTGGAATGACATCATGCTATGCATGAAACCACCATGATTATACTCCCATAGATTGGACAGCTATGGCTGCCCATCTCAGTTAATGACTCTGGATGGCTTGCAGTTTATAAAATATATTACAATTAAAAAATTTAAAAATTAAAAGAATTAAAACAATAGAATCAGTGAAAACATTAAAAACATCCAATTCAAGTCACACAACAGCAAGATATTTGGCCTGTTAGCAATAATTGGGGCCATTCTGATCCCCAAAGGGAGGATGTTCGACAGAACAGGGGGCATTGCGGAAAATGCATGTCTTCTGGTCCTCACCAGCCAAGATTCTTTGTCTGATGGGATCTGCAGCATGTCCGTTCTGTTTGACATAGGGGGAGACGGATAGAAATTCTTGGAAAAAGGCAATCCCTCAGATACTCTGGTCCCAAGCCATGATGTAGGGCAGTGTTTCTCAACCTTGACAATTTTAAGGCATGTGGACTTCAACTCCCAGAATTCCACAGCCAGCATTGCTGGCTGTGGAATTCTGGGAGTTGAAGTCCACATGCCTTAAAATTGTCAAGGTTGAGAAACACTGATGTAGGGCTTTATAGGTAAACATCAGCACCTTGAATTGAACCATACTGATAGTGATAATACTGTCTTTAAATCATGTTTTACAACTGGATTATATTGCATCAAGAAGCCTGTCAGATAATTTGTTTCCCCTCATAGATGTTCAGAAGACATCCATGCCTTGCCAAAGCTTCTCCTAGGAGATCAGGATCCATGACAACGATTAAGAATAGGGTATCAGAAAAATTAGTGGGTGGCTGAAAAAGAGGCAAAGGACTCTCCTTGAGTTTCTTCTATGGACCAGAACCTTTTAGATGAACAATTCTGCATCGAGTAATGTGTGTAGTGAGGGTGGAGCAGGGCAAGCAAGCAAATGTGGATATACTATAATTCAAAATCTAAAAATAAAGGGGTTAAGGAAAAATGGAATGTTGAGACATTATATAAATAGCTTTTATTCACTCTGTTACAAACCCCCTGGCTTTGTAAAATAAATAAATAAAGTTAAGGCTAAAAATTTCAGCTACCAGATCTGTTCTGGTAGCTGAATAAGTTCTGTTGGTAACCTGGGGATTTTTGCAGGTCAGATCTGGTAACATTACTAAAGCCAAAGATAACGGTGAATGGGAAGACTCATCCCAGCAGGCTTCCTCAAACTACTATCTGCCTCGGCCATTAAAATAAAAAACTGTGGGTTTGATTGTTGTTTTAGTACTTGGTCTATTCACAAGAAATTGCCTACCAGACAGTCAGGCAAAGTGCCAGGATACAGTTGTCAGACTTCACTGAGAACCAGTGAGGTGTCTGCTTTTTGATGGCTTGAAGGAGCTGATCTAAAGGAAGACCAACATAGCAGCGACATGCCTGCCTTTCATGGGCATCAACTATTGAAAGCATTCCCCTATCCACATCATTTTTCCAGGACAGTGTTGGGATCCATTATGATAATCTCACCCCAAAGATTATTTCACAAAACACAAACAACAGAGGTAAAGAAATGGCATTTCCTTCCCCTCCAAAATTGTTTCTCCTGCAATAATAGGCAGTAATATTTCTAGTTCATACCCCACACAAAAAAGATGACAAAAGGGAGCAGATAGGAAAGAGTTCTCATATATGTCTCTAAGAATACACATACCATGAGAAAAAATAAATCAATTATGGCAAACATATGCACTTGAAACTGGAACTTCAAAGGTAGACATTATGGGAGGAGAGTCTATAGTTGCCAAAAATCCTACCTCTTTTTAGCCGTTTCATGAAAGGAACTGTAGTTCACAAAAGCAAATGCCTTTTAATAAAATCCAATAAATGCTATAATTCCTTCTAACTTAGAGCTTCCAAAGTGATTACAATGTAACTTCTGAATTAGTATTATATTTCATGTGGCAGATTTGCGATCAGAAAAGCAAATAAATAAAAACATACTGATATAACTGGGTGACTCACAAAATTGGGTGACTGATTCGGGGCATAGTCATTTTAAAAAAAATTGTGCTAAGACTGCCCTCTCCTGGACCTTCAAGATAGTGGCAAGGGTTTAACTCTGCCACATGCATTTGGTTTGCATGCAATGTTGGTGAATAACATTTTTGGATTTCAGAGAGCTGTTCCTACATTTCTTTTAATTATAAAGCGATTGCAACATAATTTTAAGTAATCTGTAAATGTTGTAAGATAATTGCTGGTTACATAATGTTGGGAATTTTAATGGAGCAAATAATGTATTTTCTTCTTGTGAAAAAGTAAACATGAATGTAAATGAATATAATAATGAATGGATAATATTTTTACTTAATATAGAATCTAGATTTCTTAGCTTTCTTTGTAGGAAACATAAATAGAAATAGAAATTCATTTTGCATCAGTCTTCATCAGTCAACATGTTTATCTTGCATCCATATTTCTAAATCTTCAGTTCCTTGCCTTCTTTATCACTAGTAGCATATAAGTCATTTGATCATTATCCCTTGGATTATGAACCCAATATTGACACTATCCAATTTGATTGTTTATTGCAATAAGATTTAAATAAAAAAATAGAAGCCCTTCTAAAGTAGGAATTTCTTTTACTTACCACATTATATATTTTCAGGGCTTCTTCTGCTACTAGATATCAGGAAAGAAACTCGAAAAACCAAATCTATTTTTAAATCTTCTTTGATGTGGTCCTGTACAGTTATAGTTGCTGTTTTCATTCTTTGATTCTCTGCTAAGTTTTCTGATAGAGGTAAAGTGTTGTGGAACACAAACTATAAGCTACAGTACATAATTATTTTAACCTCATGTCAGGTCAAAAATATTATTATTCCCTCCCTCCTAATTCTTCTGTAGGACTTGAGAATTTGCAACCACTTCTGGACCATGTAATTAATGTCTTGCATTCTGTAGGTAAATATCCTCATCCTCAATATCCTTCAAAGAGGAATGACAAACACTAAATGAGAGGCTTATTTTATACAAAAGTTGTTTTTAAATCAGCAATAACATAGCACTACTTCCCTTTAAATTTAAAACATAAAAAGACAATAAATACGCCTTTACACAATAACATACTAACAACTATTAAAATTATGATAACAATACAACAGTAAACTATCCTGGGAGCTGAGTTATGATCTGCACACTTTCTTCTTTTTCAGCCACAGTTATGGTGTGTTATGAGCCAAGATGTTATCAGTTTGAAATTGGAAATCTCACAATATTTTAACCTGCTCATTTTCTACTACTTTTCAAGTATTTGAAAATTATTCCCACCAGTTTAAATGGAGCTAAATAAATGATTTTAAAATTGTAGACTATCTCCTAGTGTCCTTTTATTTAAATAAACATTTACAATTCTTTAACACTTAACATAAAGACAGGAATTTTGAAATAGGGAGCCTGGCCAGCACCAATGGAGACAATGTGCATAC